TTAAAACTTTCTTTATCATCTAGATTTATGACATATAACTTATTTTTACGTCTACCGGTGAAAAGCACTTTCTTATCCACCAATGACTCGATGTAGCAACAATCATGTTCAAAAATTATCCTCTTATCTTTGCCACACATTTGACTAATAGAAAACAGATTATGCTTAAGACCTTTTACTAACATCACATTTTCAATGCATGGATCTGAACCAACTATTCCTCTTCCTATTATGTCGGCAGAATTATTGTCACCAAAAAATACCTTACCACCTTTACCATTCTTTGAGAGTGGTGAATAGGTTTCGATTTCCCGTCATGTGGTGTGAGCATCCACTGTCTAGTATCCATTCAGTTGCCTCCATGCTCACTTGGAAGCAAACCTGCGCCATTAGCAGTCATGCAGTTTTGGGTTTTTGTATCCAGACTTTCTTGGATACAGTTTGTTTGTGATCTTTAAGAGAACAAAATCTACTAATGTGACCGACTTGATGACAAGTAAAACAAGTTCTATATTTTTCATTTTGTATTCTTTTTCTGCATACTCGCCTAATATGCCCAAATTTATGACAATAAAAACATTCTATGTTTCTATATCTTAGTTTTAATGTTCCATTCCTCTCATGCTTTATTGATTCTGAAAAAATCTTCGAATTACCTTTACTACATGAATTTGATCCTAATTTTTCACAACATCCCTTAGTGGAATGATTTAGGTAAGATTTACCTTCCTTTTTCAGAGATTCAATCTTATTCCCTTCTAATGAAACTTGAAGTTTTGCCGTGAGACTCGATTTCTCATTTTCTAAAACTTCAACTTTCTTAGCAGTTTCATCTAACTCTTCTTTTAATCTGATCGCCTCCTTCTTTAGTTCATCATATTCAATGTTTATTTTGGCATAATCAGATTTCAGTTTAGAGTATTTTACTTAAACATTTCCAAACTCTAACTGAATTTCCTTGATAGTGGATACTAATAGATCATCATCACTATAGTAATCACTGTCACTGAAATGAGTATGGTTGGAAGGTTTTACCTCGTTTGAGTTATGTCTTTCTGAAGGCTCTTCAACATCAATTGCCATGTAGCTTTCTTCTCTTGTTTCCTCTCCATCCTCATCTTCTTCTTCGCTACAGCTCCATGTTGCAGCCATGGCTTGTTCTTTTCTTGCTAGAGGGCATTCAGCCTTGATATGCCCAGTTTTTCCACATCTAAAGCATCCGGTAGTGTTTTGAACCTTAACCGGCTGAATTTGTTCAATCCTGCTTTTACGGAAAGTTCTTGATTGAGGGTATTTTGATGTACCACCTTCTTTCTCAACTTCTCTATTCTTGTTGATGAAGTTTCCTCTTCGTTTTTCTCTTCTCACTCGAAGTAGTCTACTAATTTGTTTGCTTAGTAGAGCCAATTCTTCATCCTCCATATCATCAAGATCTTCTGTGTCTTCATTGTATGTGGTAGCCTTGAAGGCTATCCCCTTTTTCCCTTTATCATTATTTCCCTTGTTGAGCTTGTCTTCATGGGTCCAAGATAGGGTCAGTAACCACTGGTTACTGACCCATCAGTAACAACACGCGGACCGTAGATTTGGGGAGGGAGAAATCGTGTGGATGGGCTGGACGCTGGGTGGGGGAGGGGCATTTTTGTCCGTTTTTCGTATTTTTAATTTTTTATTTATTCCGCATTTCAATGGTTGGCTTTTCAATAAAAGAGAGAGAATCTTCCTTCTCTGCAACTCAACTTTCTTCCTTCTCTCTTCCTTTTTTTCAATCTCTTTCCATAACCTTTCTCTTTCTCTATTCCTTCTCTCTTACTTTTTTTCTCACAATCTCATTTTCAAATCTAAATCTGCTCTCTTCCTTCTTCATTTTTTTTTCTCTAGCATAAAAATTGTAGCCACTCTCTTTCATTGCATTTCTTCTCTTCATCAACTCGTTGGACTCAATTCCGATCTTTCTCATTTTTTTGGCATTTTGGTGTTCTTGATTGAGGAAGAGGAAATGAGAGGCATCAGAAGACGATTTTTTTCTCTCCCTCCTTATGTTTTTTTCCTTTTAGATAATATATATTGATATTATGACTCTATACCATATGGTATTGGGTGGTAACGAAATATATATTGACATCACCACACTATACCCTATGGTAATTTATGGTATTGCATGGTAACGAAATATATATTGATATTACCACTCTATACCATATGGTATTGTGTGATATTACCACACTATACCATATGGTATTGTGTGGTAACGAAATATATATTGATATTACCACTCTATACCATATGGTATTGTGTGATATTACCACACTATACCATATGGTATTGTGTGGTAACGAAATATATATTGATATTACCACACTATACCCTATGGTATTGGGTGGTAACGAAATATATATTGATATTACCACACTATACCATATGGTATTGGGTGGTAACGAAATATATATTGATATTACCACACTATACCCTATGATAATGTATGGTATTGCGTGGTAACGAAATATATATTGATATTACCACTCTATACCATATGGTATTGTGTGAATTGTGTGATATTACCACACTATACCATATGGTATTGGGTGGTAACGAAATATATATTGATATTACCACACTATACCATATGGTATTGGGTGGTAACGAAATATATATTCATGTGGCAAATATTACCATACCACATGGTATGCTCTTGTTTAATACCAGTCAATACCAAATGGTACAGTCAATACCATATGGTATAGACTGGTAATAACTGACAAATTTTTTTGTGTCCAAAAAATATCAAAGTGGATATCATTTTGAAGAGCACAATTAATCTGATCTAACTGTGCAAAAAAATTAAATTTCGACTTAAAACGAGTGAGAAATCGTCCGTTAAAGATTAAGGGAAGGAAAATTAAATGTATTGCGAGGAGAGAGAATGAGGGGCTGATAGGCTCCGGTCAAAAGTGAGCATCAATAATAAATAGGAGTAAGTGCAATTTTACCGTACTACCCTTTTCACATTTAATTTAAATAAAAAAGTGACTGACACGTGGGGACCAGGGAAGGGGTTACTGATGGGTTACTGACCCATCAGTTACTGACAAGATCTAGAACCGTCTTCATGGGTTGCTAATGACCCGATGAGTTCATCTATAGCTAACTTCTCTAGGTCTTTAGCTTCCTCTATTGCAGTTACCTTTGGAGTCCATTGCTCTGGGAGACTCCATAAGATTTTTCGAACAAGATCTCCACTTTCATATGATTTCCCAAGATTCTCCAGACTGTTCACAATGTTTGTGAAACGCTCATACATTTGCCGGATCGTTTCTCCTTCTTCCATTTTGAACAACTCGAATTGCTGTTTTAAGGAATTAATTCGAGATGTTTTAACTTGAGAGGTACCTTCATAAGTAACCTGGAGTTTATCCCAAATTTCTTTAGCAGTCTTGCAACCGGCAACTTTGTGATATTCTTCTGGACCGAGTGCACAATATATGAGATTAGTTGCCTTGCAGTTTTGCTGAAATTTCTCAAAGTCCTCGTTTGTCCATTTTTCTTGATCCTCCTTGAGCTCATACGGACCCTTGATGACTCTAGCCCAAAGTTTTGGATATGTTGACCCAACAAATAATTCCATGCGATTTTTCCAATATCCATAATTACTCCTTCAAATCTGGGTGGCCAATTTTGAGAGAATCCGTCAGCCAAATAGAGTGGAGCATTATTCTTGGAACCCGACGCCATTTCGATTAGCACCGGAGGTCGTTGAACCTTGTTCTACGGTGACCGTGCTCTGATACCATGTGTTGGTTGCGTCGAGCGCGAGACTTAATACCTATCTTTCAAATAACTTGACCACAAATTAAGCTCAATGATAATATTTGGCACAAAAAAGATTAGTCACAAATTTAATATGTCCTAAATCAACTAACTCCCTTTTGCTTCTTTCCACACGTTAGGCTAATTAATTAAATCTTCACTTTCACTTAGACAGCCAAAACAAAGCCCACCTATTAGACTTTAAGTCTTGCTCAAATGGGCTTGTAAGCCCGATGGTTTGCGATTAAATGAAAGTAAAAGAAATAAAACCGAAAGCCCAGTTCACCAATTACTAAACCCGACCCAGCTTCTAAGAGAAGCACTCAAACGACAGTGTTTTAATTTAAAGCTAAGACACCCTTTCCTGCCTGAGTAATTTCGATCAAACAGAGACCAAATTCTAGCTGAGAGACGAACAGGGAAGAATTCAAAGAACACTGCAGTATAAACCCAGAAAATTAAGATGAAACTTAAATCAAACCAGGTCGCTATGGATTCTCCAACCCAGTTCTGCCACTTCGCCTTCCTTAGCTTTTCTTGATCCAATTTCCCTGCACACTCAGACTTGAAACAGATCACACACAGTGGCGCATACAAATCTGAAACTGAAAAGCAGAATACGAACACAACCCACGATTTTTACGTGGTTTCCAGTATTGGGAGAATAAGGATCCCAATACTGACTACTCCACGGTCGGAGAATCACGATTGTGTGATCTCCGACGATTCACTATGATTTTGCGTTGAAGTTCGTCGTTACAAGCTATCTACCCAAGAACCATTTGATCAATCTCAACCCGATTGATCAAACACTCTCTTCTCAAACCCGAATTGCTTCCCCAGCAACTCGAAACCAGTGTTTCCCCAACTCTAACCCTCAAAGCAATTCTCCCCGAACCCTTTGAGAAACCCCTTTCCTATCAATCTAGATATTCTCACAAAATCCCCTTTTGTCTTAGCTAGCTTTTTGATCTCTTGAAAGGTTGCCTTTCCTCTTGCTTTAGATCGCCTTTTATAGGCTGCAATGTAGCCGTTGTTCCTCAATATTCTTGCTGATTTGAAAACTCCACAAAAGGTAGGCTTTTGATCTTTCTACTTTTGGCCTGAATACCTTCCTTAACTGCTTTGGGCTGCCAATATATTTCCAGCTGTGAATCTTTAAAATTTGAATCTTGACTTGGTCTCCAAGTTGTATGAGATTCAGCCATTGTCAAGTTGATGCTAACAGGAACCACAAAACCTACAGCTTCAACGGGCCGAACCAGAAACCGGTCGACCCGGAAGCCAAGAGGAAAAAGCGGATCGCGGCCTACAACGTCCTCGCCATGGAAGGCAAGCTCAAATCCAGTGTCAGTTCCAGCTTCAGGTGGATCAAGACCAAGTTCACCGCCGCCGACGACTCTCGCCATGGTATTTAATGTTAATTACGGTGTTTATCGCTTGATTAGTCCTTCTGGAAGATACATATATAATTATCAGACGGGTTTCTGGGTCTCTTTTCTTTTCTCTGGTTTCAATCTTGGGGTGATTCTCCTTTGTTTGGGAACATGACTATAGGGATCATGATTTTTGGGAGGCTATGTGATTAATTATTAAGTGTAATATATGTGTTAATCGATGTAATTAATTGTGCCTAATACCCAATAAATCTATAGTTATCGTTTCTTACCTTCAGTTTCTCTACCCCTCTCTCTCCCTCGTGGTACTGTTGTAGCATTGAGCTATTCCCCATGGTTTGCGGCTCACGGGACGACACTAATTAAACATACACCTAACAATCAAAGAAGAGATCAATTGTCGACATTCGAAGAGAAGGGATCCTTCAAATGAACCAGCTAACACACCCTGCATAAGATGACGAACACCACCTCTAAGTCGCTTTCCACGAATATATGGGAAGCCACGCCAACAGAACATGTTCGTCTGAGCCACAAACCACGTGGACAGACAATCATCACGAATTATGTACAACAATTTCAAAACTTATTTTAGGAGGCCGGCATGGAAGAGGTCGTCATTGGGCTAGGACCAAATAAGGAGGATGAAATGAGCCATATATATTAGCACAATAGACGCGAGCTCACGAACTTGGAAAGAAAACTGACCTACAAGGAAACAGACATGTGATTGAGTAAACTCTTCTTTTTTTTATTATTCATTTTCTTTTAAATTGTAGTTGAGTAAACTCAAAACCTCTTTGTCTGCGAAAAAAAAAAAAAAAAAACCTCTTTGTCTAACAAATAGACACATTTGAGAATGTTATATTAAGAAGAAAAAACTTTGTTACAAGCAAGGGCTCATCGTTGCATCACAAGATATACACAACTGTAATTTTGGTGGGATAAGCATGCATGTTATAAAAATATGATATTATAGTTACAAAACTATATTAGGACTTGTACAACATGAATATAACCATTGAAAGACTACAAAAATCCCCTGGAGACATTCACATATCTATTGAAGAGCAAAAAGACAATGTCGTTTCCTCATATATGCGAAATGATTGGCAATCTGAACTCATGAACCAGCTCCCAAAATGCACAGTTAAGCATTTGGAAAGATGGGGATCCGATCAATAACCCCATAATTTTGGAAACTGAAGAAGAAGAAGTTGGGTTGGTACTTCCATGTGGAAGAGTTCTAGTTTATTACACCAACAGAATGGGAGGATAGAAAGAAAACATCAACACATAGTTAATGTAGCTAGATCTTTAAGCTTTCAATCTGACTTACTTCCCTAATTTTGGGGAGATTATGTTCTACATTATGTGTTCTTAATCAACAAATTATATTTTTCTTTGTCAAATAATATCTCATCTTATGAGAAACTGTATGGTAAGACACTAGATTATGGTGTTCAATAAGTTGTTGGTTGTTTTAGCAATGATGGTACTTTAGTACAATGAAAAATGAAGATCGAAAGTAGAGCCATACAATTTATTTTTTTGGGATTTTTTCATTCCAAGATACTAGACTTGTCATCATGTTGGGTTTATCTCAGGAAGAGGCAATACAACAACCTTGTAGGCAAAAGGCTCTGAGAGAAGAATTGAAGGGAATGCATTCTAATCTGTAAGATTGCCAATGTACCCCTAGGAAAGAAGAGTGTTGGAAGTGTATGATTATTTAAGATCAAATCAAATCCAGGCGGTAGGGTTGAGATGTATAAGGCCAAATTGGTTGCTAATGGATGTTCAAAGGTTCCTAGAGTTGATTTCTTGGATACCTTTTCTCATGTAGTAAAAATCAACATAGTAAAAACTCCCATAACTGCTGCTGCAATGCATTTTCATATGGAGTTTGATTGAAGTTGTCTATACGGAGATTCCTGCATATTTGTAAGTTGATAAATCAAAAACATCCATAGGCATGTATGCTCAAGAAATCTATATATGGTTTGAAACAGTCAAACATACAATTATTTGTCAAGTTTACAACCTCATTGATTCTTTTTGGATTTAAGCAATCTTTTGAGTTTGGTTCGAGTCTGGCAAACAACAAAACAAGACAATCATCTTCATACTAAAGTTGTAGAGTGTAGATATTGCAAACTCCAAACTTGACAAAAAGAAAACAAAATTGATGGGGAATCAATCCTTTGGTTCATGAGTGATCGTGACAATTTTCTAACAATTTGTTGATCAATCAAGTGACAAACCACCTCAATATGTTTGGTTCATTCATGGAAAACAATGTGATGAACAATATGAATAATTAACTGAGTTTTGTATTCAACTCAACATTCAACAATGCTTGCTCCTCATATCTAGGTCAGTGCTTAAAGAAGCCCGCTATGACGTCGCTTTTGTTCAGCAACCTCGTCCTACTTATATAGCTCATCAATTGTTAATCTTTCTTTCATTTAATACATATTTCATTGGTGGATTTTAGTTGTTAGTTAAATTTGGTTGTTACCGTTGCATTCAAGTGTAATTAGTAGTTTAGGAATTCATGTGCGGCATTAAATAAGCCACCTTGTACATGCAGAAATTCTTCAATGCAAATAAAAGTTTCTCAATGGAATCCTAAGATCTGTCAAATCCCAAAATATTGCTAAATTATGCATAGCTAACACCCAAACCTCTAGTCCTCCACCTACTCTAGATTTAATCAAATGAATCCAATTTTTATTAGGTAGGAAAACTAAATGTTTATGTTTTAACTTTTATGGGAAGAACAGTCCAAAGAACTTCACAACAAAATACTTATAACAATCACATTAGCAATATGAATCGACACTAAACAAATAAGTGTGCTGTTATAGAAGGGTATCTCTAATAAAATAAGTACTACTAGGCCGAATTGGGTAGAAGACAATGATAGTGAAAATGACCTAGAATTTCAAGTAATGCATTATTGGAAATGAGACTTAAGGACAAGTTCACATATGCCACCATGAGGGCAAACTATAATTACTTGAAAATTAAAAGGAAGGAGTTGGGGAGGAAAACAATGATAGCCATGGTAGACCAGAGACCTTTTGACATATGCTCCGACAAGTTTCTTGTAGTTTTGCAACCCAACCTCCATTAATGAAAAATCCCATGATTTGCACGGATTAAATTACTTGATCATATATATGCTATTTAGTTGGACTTGTTTTTTGTATTGGTTTTCGTGAATTAGTCCAATGTTTATGTTTCGTTGCTCTTGTTATTGCCACTTGGCTTGGCAAATTCACGGGATACTTTATACTTTGTAGTTTATGAATATTTTAACATTAGTAATTAACTTCATTGATCCCAAGACTTTGTCATAATGGACGTGGACACGTGGCTCACTTCAGGCGAAGTTGCCGACGGCAGATTAAGCATTAGGTTTAGGTGGAGAGGAAGATACTCCCGGTCATGGAAATAGAGATTGAAAACATATTTAGTTATATTCTTATGTGTTGTTGTGGCTATAAAAGTTGACTATATAACATAACTTACCTGAAAATATTGAAATTTGTTGTTAACAAAAGTTGTTTCTTATCGAATCATATTACTTGTAATAATTTTATTCTAAAGAGTATGAGCAAATCACACTAGATTAAGTTCTTGCATATTTCCAACCCAACCCACCCGTATTTATCGCTTAAACGAAGGTTTTGGGTTGGGGGAGGATTTTCTTTTGTACAAACCGCCTCTTTTGGGTTGGGTTTGGATTTTGGTTTACACAACCCATAAGACCCAACCTAACCCGTGTTCCAACTATTAGTATAAGTTCGTATCGAAAAAATATTTATGTCGTATATAGCTGTACTTATGAGAAAATTAAGATATTTCGCCATGTTTTTCTCTCATGATATCCTTAATCTAATGTATTATTCGACTTAAAGTTTAGACATAAATTGAATATAGTTATAATTCACGTAATTCTTTTTTCTTGTGTACAATTGTAATAAAATAACCAATTATGGATGCGTTCGTTTATAACGTTTTTAGCCTAGTTTAACAAATATAGTGAAAAAACTAGACATATGTTGAAGTAAATCACATTTTCTTAAAATTCAAACAACATTTTTGAATTTTGATACCTTTCACCTCGGTTTATTCGTTTAAAATTTTAATTAGTCATAAAAATATTTTTATGGTGTAGAATAATTATATATTTTGTGTTTGGTTGGGTTTCTACTTAAAAATATCGCCAACCCGACTCAACCCATTTAGAAACGAACCGTAGGTTTTAAATATTTTTGCGTGGGTTTGGGTTCAATATTTCTCAAACCGTAGTGCATGGGTCGAGTGATTAAAATGGCTAAACCCGGACCACCCGAACCATGTACACCCCTATTTTCCACGCACCATTTTTCGATTACACATCCCAAAATTTTATTGTCGGTATTATTTTCATAGTTTCTCTCTCTCAATTTTTCTATTATTTTTCTACTTTCGTCTTAGTATCAACATTGATACTAAACAGGGTCTAATGAAATAACTAAACATTGGAGATTGTCAATTTCTATGAATTTCTTAGTTACCAATAAAATATGTTTTTGTTTTCCATTTTCATAGTGTTTTGGACTTTGGTCGAGTATTGAAAAATTGTACCTTACCAATGGTTCGACCAAAAAAAACTTTTTTCAGGAAGAGAAACTGATATACAGTATTTAGCGATATTAAATGATTGAACCATGATGAAACCACAATTTCAACATCAAATACCTTACCGCTGATACAACCTCCGATACGATTTTCAATTATTTCTTTATTCTCACAACAATACTGCAACCAAAGTTTATGCATCAACTATAGAATTCATGAGTTTGAGTGTGTAAGGTCCTACAAGCTGTGGAGGCAGGGTGACAGGGAAAAGAAAGAAATGATTAATACTTAATAATTTACATTAACCCAGAAGTAAGTAATTACAAAAAATGTGGCATAATTCATATGCGATATTATATAAATAAATATAACCTGTATCTATGCGAGAG